TTCTCCCCAGGCTCTCGACAGCCCCCCCCCCACCCCTGGCCTCCCTGCCCCGCTCCCAGGAATAAAAATAACACTAATCCCCTGCTCTCAGCCAAGCATTTTCTCTCTGGCTTCTGGCTGATGGGTCTGTAATCCCTACTCAATCCCTATCACTCTCATCTCAGCCCTGCTCACGGCAGAACAGCTCTCCCAGGGGATGAATTCTGCCAGGGAGAGGGAGGAAGTGAGGAAGGAACCACGGACCAGTTAGCAATCTTATCACCAAAGGATGGAATCTCAATGGACAGAGTCTCCAGACAGGGTGTTACAACCTGGCCGTGCTCCAAAGCACCTGGCACGTAGTTGGGGCTCATTAAATAGTCTTGGAAGGAATTAAGCTCTAAAGGGGACGTACAGCTCCATGTTTCTGATGGTTATACTATAACCGTGCTCCTGAGGAACTGAAATGGGGAAGGAGGCCAAGGACAAGCCATTTAAGAGGCAGCAAGACACAAGACAGAACAGAAAGAGTGAAAATGTCAGTCTGGTCTTTAGGGCCTCAGGTGGTTGATTTCACTAGCATGTCCTTATTGGCGCTGGCTCTGGAGGAACCAGTAAACCCCAAGATGTTTCCAGTTCTCTACAGATCAATCTCCACAGGGATCCAAAGTCCTTGCCCTCCATTCCATACATCACTGCTTCTCTATGAGCATTATCTACCTTTGATGTTGGGGGTTCTCTTTTCATGGAATATACCCCTTTGTTTTCCCTATATGACCATGTATTCTTTCAGACCAGGACTTTGTATAAGAACTCTGCCTAGAATTCCCTGGCTGTCCAGCGGTTAGGACTCAGTGCTTTTACTGCCGTGGCCCGGGTTCGATCCCTGGTCAGGGAGCTAAGATCCCACAAGCCATGTGGCGTGGCCAAAAAAAATTAATAACTCTGCCTAACAGGATGCCCAGCAGGATGCTAGGCACGCAGAGGTCAAAAAGCACCGATCGTGTTGTCTGTGTGAAGCACTCGCCAACAGGAGAATGGGTGAGAAAATCCAGGATCCTTGCCTTCCTTCTTAGGAGACTCCCCATGCCTCTGAAGGAATTAGATTTCAGCCTTAACATGGACTTGAACAGGAGCATCACTTCTTCTGGGAAGAGCCCCCAGGCCCTAGTGCCCTGTCCCCAGGGGCTGGCCAATAGGGTCTTCCTGCGGTTGCTTCTGTCCCAGGGATGGGACACTGTGTCTGTTTCTTGTGTGTCTCCCTAGCTGACTGTGACCTCCCTAAGGCCCAGAAGTATGTGCTCATCAGCATTACCATCCCCATCCCCAGCACCTATCAGAGGGCTTAGGACATAGTAGGCGCTCGGTTTTTTTGTTTTGGGTTGTTTTTTTTTTTTTTTGGCTGTGTTGGGTCTTCATTGCTGCGCACCGGCTTTCTTCAGTCGCAGAGAGCGGAGGTCACTCCTTGTTGCGGTGCATGGGCTTCTCTTTGCAGTGGCTTCTCTTGTTGCGGAGCACGGTCTCTAGGTGCGCGGGCTTCAGTAGTTGCGGCACGTGGGCTCAGTAGTTGTGGCTCACAGGCTCTAGAGCACAGGCTCAGTAGTTGTGGCGCACGGGCTTAGTTGCTCCGCAGCATGTGGGATCTTCCCAGACCAGGGCTCAAACCCGTGTCCCCTGCACTGGCGGGCGGATTCTTAACCACTGCGCCACCAGGGAAGTCCCTCCGTAAACATTTGCTGAATGAAAAGAGGGCCAGGCAAGAGGTTCCTGGATGGGAATCGTCTGGACTCAGCGGATCCAAAGTTCAGCTGGTGAGAAATCAGGAGGAAGCGCCTTGTGAGACAGGCTGGGTGTAGGCACCGCACATTCCTAGCAAGCCTGTCTGATGTCCCTGAAGGGGCAGGCTGCTGGGATGGCCAGCCAGGAGGAGCCATGCAAGAGATAAGATGAGTCAGGGCTTGTGACTGTAGCCGCAGGAAGGGGTGCCCTTCAGTGTGGATGCTGCTCCCAGCAGGTCAAGTTTGGGGGACTCAAATTTACTGTGGTGGGTGATTATCACGGATTATCTCGTTTCACCCTCAGTGACCCTAGAGGGAGGGTACGATGACCCACTTTAGAGGAGCAACTCTGAGACCTCAGTCCTACGGACTTCTGAGCCTCCCAGTGCTTGGGACGGGCTCACAATGAAGCATTTCTAGAAACGCACATCCTCAGAGTTGACGGAGGCCTTGAATCTCCTCATGTGCTTCCCCTCCCCTCCAAAAGCACTCAGATCCCTACAACATGCAACATCCCAGCAAGCTTCCTGCCTCCCTCCCATGTCCTGCCAGCCCAGCCCATCCTCGGGCAGCTGTGACTACCAAACGCGCTTTCTACAGAGCCCTCGCGCCTGCCCATCAGCCCCACTTCTCCACTCTCACGTCTTCTCCTATCTACACGGAGCAGAGCTAATCCCCTGCACGTGACAGCTCCCCAGCTGTCTGGAGGCAGTTAACGCCTCGCCTCCCCCAGAGTTTAGAAAGAGCCTCACAGCAGAGATTGCACCAGCGCTCAGGGTAAAATTGGTTTCATGCAGTTAGCAAACGTTGATAAAAGGAATCAGAGAGACAAGATGGTTATCTTGTTGCTGGGGCGGGGGGTCTCTCTCCCAGGGGAAAGAGGGGCTGGTTAGGGGAGGTGGGCCAGAAGCAAAAGCCATCTAAACCTTAACAACAGTCTTCAAGAAAAACGTTAATATTGCCAGAAGGGGCTTCTGAGATCAACCAAACTCCTCGCTTTCCAAAGGGGGATTGGAGGAGCAGAAAGGTAAAGTGACACCAAGGAACACAGCTCTTAAAGGGCAAAGCCACAACTGGAATCCTTTGAACCCACAGCCGGGGCCTCTTGCACAGTGTTACCACCCATCCCCCTGCTCCACAAGGCTGGAACAACACCTGTGATGTCAGAACAGCACTGCCATCATAAAGGCGCCGTCTACAATCTCACTTCCACCACATCCCCAAGAGATAAAGGGAGAAACACAGCATTAGCTCCATTTTACAGAAGGTAACAGTGACGCTCGGGGAAGCAAAGGGACCTGCTTGGGTTCCCCGGCAAAGTGAATTTATACTTGGAACTCAAAGCTCAGTTAAGGCTCTGTGCTGTTTGTTGGCAGTGGCCGTTGAAAGGGCCGTGGGAGGGAATTCCCTGGCAGTCCAGTGGTTAGGACTCCACGCTCTCACTGCCGAGAGCACAGGTTCCATCCCTGGTCAGGCAACATGGAATGGACTTCCTAACGCAAGGAAGGGCGCCACCTCCGCCTGCAGTTCTGCGTTGTTTTGGGACTGCCTGCTGCGCGCTCCAGGAAGATCTCTAAAACCACACTCTTCCTCCCTTTCTGCCGCCCCAGTCAGCGTGCTCCAGGGAAAGAGGGGTCAGCAGCCTGGGTTCCTCCCCCGGCCGAGCCCTCACCAGCTCTGTGACCTGGGGCCTCCCTCCTTCCCAGTCCCAGCTCTAGTTTCCTCACCTTTAAAAACAGAGGCAATCAATTCTGCCCTGACAGTATACGGGATGTTATGAGGCTCAGATGACAAAGAGCAAGTAGGAGGCTGGGAGGCTCACTCCCACCATCGGTGGCTGCCCCTTGGCCTCTGTCACTTCCCCATCACCCCCGCCTCCTCCGCAGCCCTACTACCTAGAGCAGGTGAGAGGGTCAAGAAGGTCTCAGCCAAGACAACGGAGGAGAAAGAAAAATAACTGTGACATCAGCCCAGAAGCCCCTCACACTTGTACGAGGCTTTATTTTTCCGAAGAGCTTTCGCAGTGACAAGCCTAAGATTTACCGTTGCTTAGTCCTGTATGTGCCAGGCACCGTACAGAGGGCTCTGCATACTCTCTTGGGTTTAGTCCTCACAACTACCCATTTGAAAGATGACATAACTCCGGCTCCAAGGTTAAGTACGGGATGGCTGGTAAGTAGTGGAGCCAGGAGGCAAACCCAGTTCTATCCAGTCCCCTGTTCCCCAACCTTCAATGTGCTCATGATCACCCGGGGAGATTTATGAATAATCAGATTTTGATTCCATAGGTCCAGACTGAGGCCTAAGCTTCTGCGCTCTGACAAGCTCCCAAGTAGATGGACTACCTTGTATCACGGGCTACATTTTAAATTCCGTTAAGACAGAGCCTGGGTCGCCCAATCCCCGGGGCTTAGCACTGGGCCTGCCCCACAGAATACACTCAATAATTATTTGTTCAATGAATCAATGAATGTTGGACTTAACCCATGCTTTAACACTTCTCTGTACTAAGCCCCATTATATCAGTTGATCTCATAACAAATCTCTAAGGCATATCAATCTCCCTTTGACAGATAAGGAAACAGGCTCAAAAGAGGACGTAGCCTAAGGTTTTACAGCTTTTGTGCAGCAGAGCCGGAAACGATCTACCTTCAGATCCTTGGCCCTGACCACAGCTGTCCCAAGAATGGGGGTGGGCGTGGGAGGGGGAATTAATAATTACAGACAGCTGGGTGGTGAAGAGCTGGCCCCCATCCAGGCACCTGACCAGCTCACAGCTCGGGAGGTCACCCGCTAGAGCTGCTCTCCGGGGGCGAAGGCAGTCGTCTCAGCGTCCCCCAGGAGAGAAACGAGGAGGAGCGTGGGAGGAGGCGGGTCCTGGGCACAGTGCCAGGCAGCATGGGGCAGGTGGTGAGTGACCCTTGATCTCACAGAGAGCCCCGCTGGACCCAAGCACCCACCAGCTCCCGCGGATCCCATCTCTAGACTGATGCTGTCCAGCTTGGGGGACGGCGAGGAGACTAGAGGCATCCCGGGAAATCGCAGCCTAGCGATGAACCACCGGCACATGACCCCAGAGAGGAGGGGTGGGTGCGTCTGGGGCTTGGGGAGGACGGGCCTTGCGCCCGCCCCGCACTCCCCCCGCCCAGCCTCGATTTGGGGGAGCGAGGGAAGACCCTCTCCCGCGCAGCTCCACCCCCGCAGCCCCCGGCCCGCCCGGTTCCCCGGTGCGGCGGGACTCACGGCCTTCAGCTGCTCCAGCCGGTCCTTCATCCTGGTGCCCAGGCGCCCGGAGGCAGGTGAGCGCGTCCCAGGTGAGCGGCCGGAAGTGGCGGCCGGGCCCGGCCAGGACGGAGGAGCAGGCGGAGGCGGGCGGCGGCTGCGGGCGAGAAGGAGCGTCCGAGACCACTGGAGGCTCCGCCGCGCCGCCCCCTCCGGCCCAGCCGGCGCCGCGCACTCCAAATCCGGCTCCCTGGCCGGCGCCGACGCGCAGAGCTGCTCCGCCCGGCGGGCCCGCCCCTTACCTGGGCCGCGCCCCGCGCTCCTCCTTAAAGGGCCAGTGCCCCGCCGCCGCCCGGCCACCCTCCGCGCCTCTCACTCCACCTCCCCCTAGCTCCAGGTCCCCCGATGGAGCAGCAATGGGAGATCCCGCCGCGAGTGGGTCTGACCTCAATTCCAGCCTTTCCATTCAACAGCCATTCACTACCTGTGCCGGGCTCTGTGCTAGGATCCAGCCCTCAACAGACTGATTCGTTGCTAGGCGGCGCCAACATCCCGTAAACGAGGAACTCTAAGACAAAGTGCTTCGTGCCGTAACAGGTGGGAGAGAGAGAGCAATTAATTCTGCCTGGAGGAAGGGCATTCCAAGTAAAGGAATGCGCACGGTCCTGGGGACTGCGTGCTGGAGCTGAAAG